TTTCTTTATCAAGACTATTACACGTTTTATTTCTTTTATCTCATAACATGAACAGTTAAAACACAAAGGTCCTAGCAGAATGATAGTTTTTCTTCCTTAGTTTTAGAGCTACACCTAAAGACAAGTGGGAGCTACTGCAAATATGTGCCCTAGGCCCAGTGTGCCGGGGTCACTGTTGTTCCAGGATTGGATACAGGGTTGCTGCATATGAAATGGTGGGTGCTCCACCTCTTAAACTTTCTTTCCAGCCTGATTTATTTTTAAGGAGGTAGTAGATCATGTAATCTGGACATATTCATTTTTGTTTTAACTCATATAACTTTTTTCTTCTTTCAATAAAGTAAAGTAAAGTAAAGGCCCTCCCGTTGATCATCGATTTGCTCGAGTGGGCCCAGTAACGTCTCCATTGGAGACTTTTATTAAATATCTATGTAGCACTGTAGCACTGTCTTCCCGTTGTTCATCGATTTGCTTCAGAGGGCCCAGTAACGTCTCCATTGTGAGACTTTTGTTACTGTGTTTGGTATATTGAATATGTCACAGGTAGCTTGCTGGGCACTCTAAGAGGGGCGGAGGAATCGAACTCTGTTCAGCCATGTTGGCTGCATGCAAGGCAAACGCCCTACCCACTGTGCTATCGCTCCAGCCGAAATAGCTCTGTAATCGTTGTAAAATATTGCAAAAAAGTAGAAGTTACCAAAGTGGGTGAGGTTCTTGAGCCATGATTGCAAAAGCAATTTGCTCATTTTAAGTATACACATCATATAAGCTTTGAAAAGCAGTTATTTGTTATCTAGTACAATCTCTTATTGACTATTTCTAAGTACCAAAGTGTTCTTTTGCTTTTGTATGGCAGTCTTTTTCCATGGTCTTAAATTTCTGGCAAACATTAACATGGTTTCAGTCATGCAATTTTGCCTGTAAGTGAAGATTGCGTAAATTGCTCATAATAGCTTAATCTTTTATGCTAGATCCTTGTAACAATGTTTTCGTGATTCATTTTCTTTTTTGCTGCTTGCACCTAAGATATATATTTTTGAGAACTACATTTTTTTCCCCAAAACTTTCCTATAGCTTGCTTAGTGATTACTTTCTTTTTCGTGTCATTTGCTTTGCAATATCGAGCAAAAATTTGATTTTGTGCCTTAACAAATTGTCACAATCTTTTTCTGATTAGCAACAGCTTTTACTTTATATTCTTAGAACAATAGCATATTGAAATATTGCTCCAAAATAATTTTAATTTTTCTTTGATGTATATGTTCTTCATCAATCCACAGCTAATTCTTATTGTCCTGAATTCATTTCACTGTACCACAATAAACTGTTGTTATTTATCATGTTAAAGTGTGGTGGTTTTGATATTGAATAAAGCTGTTAAAAACATACAAATAATAATTTAAGAATTTTAAAAAAGAAATATCTGTAGATAACAAAAAAAACATACAAACCTTATGCTATAAAATTGTTTTCCTCTTATTGTTATAGCCTATTTTTAGACATATCTTTTTTTGTTCAATTGAATCACCATGAAATACAGTTACAAAGCTTTCATGTTTGAGTTTTAGTCATACAAAAGACATATCTTTTAACTAAACTACGAATTAGGTCAGGTATAGCACTCAGTAGGAAAGCATTTGTTTTGCCTGTATAAGCTTAAAAAATGGGTTCAGTCTTGAGATTGCAAGGAAAAACCACCAAATTATATCCATAATATCCTCAAAAAATATGAAGCCTATTTTATGTTTAACATATATATTATATGTTGGGCATTGTGGAATTACTAAACAGTGGTTGTTTATATCAATATTCAGATAAAATTTACTGGGCAAATTATAAGACTTCCATTTTTCAAATGACAAAGTAATTTTATGTTAGTAGAAAATAATAGTGCAATTTAGTTTTATTGTATCTCTACTGTTGTTAATACTATTTTATTTTTAATTGTAGTGAACTTCATTCTATTTATTTTACTATTTATTTATTTTATTATTGGTGGTACATATGGTGTGAATTAAAATTTTTAAATTACATGTTAATATAAGCAGAGGTTTCTAAAATGTTACTAGTTGAGCAATTATTACGGGTCATTATTTTTTATAGCTAGCTTTTAAATGTACAAAATTTCTTTTTAGTAGGTGTGTTCTTTTTATAGTCAGAAATTCAGATATAAAGTACTATGTTTTGCATTTTGGCATTATCTTGTTCTGAAAGACCCTATTTATATCAATGGTACCTGAAAGAACAAACTTCTACTCTTCTACTTATACATCAATTAGAGTTTGAGCTATTAAAAACATCTTTACTGAACATAGCAGTTTATTTCAGTAATCATGCTATTAATGAAATTTTTTTATTCTCAACAAGACTATTTATCCCATTAATAGATCTCTACAAACACCCCCACTCCTGTGTAAGTCGCTTTTCACCTTTATTTAAGGGAAGACTGCATGACCCAGTGAAATTGGAGAGTTCAAAAGTATGTAAGATAGCTTAGCCACGGTCATGGTGCTATAACTTTTCCTGCCACAAATGTTAGTATTAACATTATTCTAGTCTAATTTGGAGAGATGGTGCAGTAATCACAGTCCACATTGGAATCCTAGCACCTTGTCATACCCCAAACACCACTGAGAAATGGGAGTATGCCCTGTTATGGTTCAGGTATTTCCAGGTATGGTTCAAAACTAAAACCAAAACAAATAAAAAACATTACAACCATATTACATCTAACAAAAAAATGCAGAAAGAAAAAAGTTACTTGATATGGATCATAGACCTAAAGATAAAATGTTAGGCATGAGAAAAGCATGATTTGGGTTTATCCATGAATTTTAGATATAATAAAAATAATTCAAACCTAAATTGATCTCTCAAAACTTTGCTTTGGGAAAGTCACTGTTCAGAGAAAAAAAGATAGTTTACAATTAAAAATAAGTATCTGTAAATCACATATAAGTAAAAACGGTCTGAATTCAGTAATAAAACAATCTCATTCCAAAAGGGAAAAATATTTGAGAAGGTACTTTACCAAAATAGAGATATGGCTATAACTTTAGATCGGTGTAGAAAATCCTGTCTCTGATAAGGGCCATTTGGATATTTTATAACACTATTTAAGGTTATAAGCAACTAATAAAAAAACCTGGAAAAAGGTGCCATCATGTGCCAGGGCTAGATCACATGCTGTTGTGGGTGTTATATAGCTTGTGAGACATTTCCCACCTCTATATAGATATAGGTTATGATATATATGGATATAGATGTATATAGCATAACTATAAACGCACTAAAATGATAAAAAGTTATTTAGGTATAAATTAAAACAGTAATATATCCCTACTTATATATTAAATATAGTTATTTGGGCTGAAGCAATTAATATAATTAAACAAAATAAATCCAGCTGTAATATTTATGCCCGTGATATATAGGAACTGTGATTCTCAAACACTACAGATTATCACTTCAAATTGTATAATAGTAGCATTTTGCAAAACAAATTAAACATCTATAATATAATCTGGTTGGAAAAGGTCCAGTCCCAATCTGAGTAGGTTTGAGACCTCAACCCCGGGACCTGCATGCCTGGGTTTCTCTGCCAGTTCTTTCATGCATGAGGCCCATCCGGACGTGTGGAGAGTGGTCCCAGCATGGCCGTGGCTGGCTCCAGAGGTCCTCAGCTGCTGGGGCTCTGCTTGGGGCGGCAGGGGGAGGAGAGAAACTCAACCCTCCCACCTCCAAGGGGCCCCGGTGAGGACAGCCAGGCGCGGGGGCAGGAGACTCCAGACCAGACCCCCCATTTCCAGTAGGTAGGTGTCACACCCACCAGCTGCTGCCAGCACCAGGTTGGTCCCATCAACGGCCAAGATGCAGAGACTATAAAACCCAGCTCCCGGAAGCATGCGGCCGCATTTGCAGCCGCACGACATCTTATTATTATTTTTACCCCCTTTGGAGAACCTGGCAGGCTACCAAAAGTATCCTGCCCACACGGCAGAGTCTGGCAAACTTCCTGTGTCATACTCAATATGCCAAATACCAGTAACAATGATGGGTCTCATTCTCCTAATCCTGAAAGAGCATTGAAATGGTTCTTTTAAAATTTCAGGGCTAGGAAGGAGGAGACGTTACTGGTGCCTGCTCGAGGAAATTGATGATCAACAGGATGATCGTGATCGGGATTGTGAATATAATCTAGTTATTCTATTTCTACCCATTGTTCAATATTTAAGTTTGGCTTTCACATTTTCAATTGAAAGTATATAGTACTTTTATCAGTACATTATGAGAGTTAATAATATTGCAAGCATCAGAAAAGGTAGAAATATGGTACAGGATAAAGAAATACATGAAAATTTTTAAAAAATATATAGCATACAGAAGGAAGACAGCTAAACAAATTATACAAATGACTTAGAAAATAATTTAAAGGATGAAACAATGTGGAAAGTCCAAGAAGGTTCTGAATCCTTTCACTTTGGTAAGTTTCTCTTACTTAAATTTTACTTTCAGCAAAGCAAAATTACTATAATCAGTTCATTTCCTTTAGGATATCATGACCATTTGGGAATAGTGAAAGAAACAGCTCTGGTACACAAGAGAAAAATTACTCATGCATTTTATGTTTCTGGTTAGGATGCTGTGAACTATAGCAGTAGTATATACCCATGAGCATATATTTTCTTCCTTTAGAGATTAACAGACTCCCAAAAGTCCAAACCTAAATCCAAATCCCTCATGCCCATAAACATGATTATTTCTGTATAAAATCTCTTGGCCTTCAGATTTTCTTACATGACACTGGGAAAGCTATCTCTAGAAAAGAGGAATTTTTTCCCTAAAAGATAAAGATTTAAGTGTCTTTTTTGCAAAATTTTGAGACTAAAGAATATTTATTATTATTTTCTTCCCCAAAGCAGATGATATAACTATAAGTTAAGACACTATTAAACTAACCTAATTTGAAACATCTCTCTAGAAAGATTTTCAAGTCTCAGTTAATGTCTTCTCACTCTATCACAAACTCCAGCAATTCTAAATTTAATCTGACTGGCTTTCCTGGCTTAGAAACTTACTATGTGTGGCTCTCAATTCCCTTCTCCTCTATTTATGCTATCGTTTTCCTTGGAAACTGCATGGTGCTCCATGTGATCCGCACTGAGTCAAGCCTGCACCAGCCCATGTTCTACTTTCTGGCCATGTTGGCACTCACTGACCTGTGCATGGGGCTCTCCACCATGTACACCGTGCTCGGGGTTCTGTGGGGATTTGTTCACGATATCAGCCTGGATTCCTGCATTGCACAGTCCTACTTTATTCATGGTTTGTCCTTCATGGAATCGTCTGTTCTCCTTGCTATGGCTTTTGACCGTTACATTGCCATTTGCAACCCTCTACGCTACTCTTCCATCTTAACTAATGACAAAATCTTAAAAATTGCAGTGGCAATCATTTGCAGGAGTTCTCTACTCATACCTCCAGTCATTATTCGCTTGAGGTTTTTAAATTATTGCCGTCTCCACAAACTTTCTCACTCTTTCTGCCTGCACCAAGACTTAATTAGAATGGCTTGTTCAGACATCCGCTTCAACTACATCTTTGGTCTGGCCCTGGTGATCTGCAACTTGTTGCTGGATTCAGTGCTTATACTCGTCTCCTATATCATGATATTGCACGCAGTACTAGCTATTGCTTCTCAGGAGGAGAGAAGTAAATCCTTGCAGACCTGCGTGTCTCACATCTGTGCAGTTTTGGTTTTCTACGTCCCGATCATTGGTTTGACCATGGTTCATCGCTTTGGGAAACATCTCTCACCTCTGATTCATGTTCTCATGGGCAACATATATATTCTTTTTCCACCTTTAATGAATCCTATTATTTATAGCATCAAGACGCAGCAAATACGGAAGAGAATCCAGGGACTATTTCGCTTGAAATGAATGTAACTTCTAACATCAAAAGTGAATGTGTTTAAAAGCTGACAAGCAGAACTCAAAAGGGTAAGAGCAAACATTTTAAAATATAATTAATGACTTCTATTCATATTTGGTTTCTGTCTTATGAATAATTTCCTCCCCATTTTCCTACAGCCATCATAAGTCAAGGGTTGATGTGGGTGATACAAGTAATTAATTTTATAAATCAGAAACAATCATTTATAGTCAATTCAGAACAATACTAACATGAGGTCTACCTGCTGCTAAAATCTGCCTCTTACTATGGTCAGATTATTGAGGATAATTTGAATCACTTAACAAGAGCAAGGCAAAGTTTTATGATTAAAGTTCTTCAAGTAAGTTTTAAGACATAAACAAGTATCTTCCTATATATTCAATTTTTGCCTGCTGTTCATCTTACATCATTAAAACCCAGCTTATCCATGAGTTCCTTATTGGGACAAGGAGATTAAACTATTAGAATAATTTCATGAGTACTGAAACAAATAACAAAATCTTCACTTAAGTTTTTTCATCAGACAAAGAGATCCTGTTTCCACTTGATTAGTAATTGAACTGGATATATGAAAAATCAGTGAATTCCTGATTAGAAGGAAAGAGACATTTGTGAAACATTTGTCAATCCAAATAATAATCCTAATAGCAATTAACATTATAAAAATAGTAATTTAAAATGTTTTTTATGAGTTTTTATCTCATGAAGTTCCTTGCCCAAGATTTTTGTTTGTTTGCTTCTGTTTCTTTTCAAGAACTCAGAATATTGTTATGGTCAAGTAATATGAATACAGTTCTAACATCTTTTCATCAATCCTCTGTTGTAGGTGTTATTTTCTATCACATATAGGTAGTTTAAAACACACAGATTAAATGATGAGTTAATGTTTTTAGAGGTAGAAATTCATAAGATTTAGATATATTCTTTTTTAGACTTAACTGACATTATAACTTTTTTCTACCATAAAATACTTCTATAATATATATCTATATAATTTTGAAAACATAATTACCAAGACATATACATACTGTTTATAAGCTTTGAAAAGTATTGTCATGTGATTACTACTACAATCAAGTAAAGAATATTTCTATTCACGTTTGAGAGTATTCTTTAACTTCTTTGTGTCTAGCTTTTTCTCACAATATTAAATTTCCAGAAATGACTAATATTATTTCTGTTATGCAGTTTTGCCATTAAGAAAAGTTTAAATGTAAATTAAACTTAGTAAATTAGTTAATCATTAAATTTTTCCCTTATGATTTTTTTTAAGTTGCAAGACTACTATTTTTTAAGAAATGCATTTGCTTTATTTTTTATTTATTTTCCTTTTTTTGGTCACATCTGGCGATACTCAGGGGTTGCTACTGGCTCTAAACTCAGGAGTTTCTCCTGGCGGTGCTCAGGAGACCATATTAGATGCCAGGGATTGAACCTGAGTTGGACACATGCAAGGCAAATGCCCTACCCGCTGTACTGTTGCTCTGACCCCACAAGACTACTTTTGAGATTCACTCTTAAACCTTTATATTTCTTTGTTAAAGTAAAAAAAATAAACAACTATCAAGAATAATATGTGTAGTGCTTTTCTTTCATTCATTATTCCATCTTTTTAATTATGTGGGTTAAAGTACAGAGTGGCCATTTTTTCCTATATCTTAGTGAATTGTCACACTCCTTTCCAGATTAGGGCCAGTTTCCCTTTTGTATATGTGGCAGTTGCAGTATTTAATATATCTCTAAGAGGTATTCAAGAACTTAGCTTTGCATCTACATATATGTTTGTCACCATTTCACATTTTACTTTTATTGTTGAATCATTTTAAACTGTATCACAGCAAAATGTCATTCATTTATTGTCATTATCATGTTAATATTGAGTTTTGATTTGAATAAAAGAGTTGTAAGTGAACATGTTCTATGATTATAAATATTTCCCAAAATATGCACTTTATTTTTAAATTTTATCTTATGTTAAAACTGTAAGCATCACATTACTAATACTTACATTCATAAAATTAAACAATGAGTTATAGTAATATAGTTAATATTTTATGTTAGACATTATAAACACTAAATAGTGACTCTTTTTTTGTTTGTTTTTAGGCCACACTAACTATACTAGAGCTTACTCATGACTTGCACTCAGGGGTTACTCCTGGTGGGGTTTGGTGGATCATTTGTGCTGCCAGGCCAGGGATAAAATGGGTCAGTCCCAAACAAGGGAAGAACATTTTACATTGCACTATCTCTCCACTTCTCATGTAAATACAGACTTTGTTTAGGAATGACTCCAGACTCTGTGCTTGGGGAGTAACTTCATGCAGTGGCAGGAGACATATATTATGCAAGAGATCAAATTCAGGTTGGCCAAAGGCAAAGTTGTCACTCTGTAACCTGTACATCTTTTCGGAATATTTGCTTCTTTCACAAAACTCTGATACCCACTTCTACCTTCATAGAAATATTTTATCACAGGTACTCTAGGGAAGCCTGCATATTCCAGGGAAGCCTGCATTTTCCTAGGCAATTCATGCTTTTTTTTCAAATTCACAATTGCAGAATTTGTTATGATATTTGTGTTTCTCACAGTGCTGTAAAGAACAATAGGCTTGAGGTTGATCTTCATCACTACAGGTATTCTGAGCTGTGCGTGAAGGCCTGATTCCTCCAAAAAAAGAGGATAGAGGACATGAGTAGACCACCAAAGAAGGCGTACACTTATAGGTACGCGGAAAAAAAGGTTTTTTAAAAGTTTATCAACTTTTATTACTAAATATAAGCAAATCAAAATCACAAGAAATGTCCTCAGATATCAGTGACTAGTTTAATGATAGAGAAACACATGTAGATTTTTGTTCCATTCCTTTTTTATTGATGATATACACTGATAATTCTCAAAATTGTTTATCTAGAAAAATCTTTCTACTTTTTAACATTGAGAAATCAAAGTGATTTCAAGCCTCAAGATTATCTAAAATTGTTATATTTCATAATGACTGCCAGTATGATTGGAAAAGAAGAAATATAATACAGGCAACTCAGTTCACTCTTACGGGTCAGTGTTTGGGACATGCAAACATTATTTTGCTGCTATAATGACAATGGGCAACATACTTTTCATTTATTCTATTCTATAGGCACTATCTTAGAAGATTTGTGTGCATAATTTTATTTAATTGTTTCATCAACCCTATAAGATACTTTTAATGCTCATTATAAAGATAAAATTACAGAAACACAGAAAGGATATGTTGACCAATGACAGACTCTACAATTCAAAAGTTCAATTAAGAACTCAACTAATACGGGGGTATGGTGCTGCCAGCAGGTCAATCTGTACCTGTGAGGTGAGTGCATCAGCAGCCTGATGGCACCGTCAGACTTTCAGATACCCCAAATTTACTGATGTGCCTTTAGCCAGACCCCAAAAACTGGGGGCAAAGTTTACCAAGAAAGTAAACGGCCATAAGTTAGGTATGTGGGAGACACACCCACAAAACACCTCAGGCTCAGCTATATAATTGGAGGCATGGCCTCTCTGGTTCCTAATTGAACTGCTTAACGGCCATGATCCCAGAGACTCATAAACGAATCTCGGAGTCCAAAGGCTTTTGGCAGAAATTCACCCTGTTTCTGCAGTAGGTTACTGGCTCTGGGCCACTCCAGGTGGGAATAGGTTTCGTGCCTTAGCCTGTTCCCCTTGGTGGCCTGGTGACCACCATCCTCCAGAGGCCACTGGACAGTCAGGTTTGGGCCTGCAGTGACAAGGCACGTGGGGCCTCACCAGATGGGGGTGAAACCGGCCCTTTCCTCCCCATCCCAGTGATACCTCGAGTAGCCCCCTGCAAATGGCCTCTCTGGCTTCTGATCCATCTGCTTAACGGCCATGAACCCAGAGACTCAGAAACAAATCTCGAAACCCAACGGCTTTTGGCAGAAATGCATCTGGACCACATACAAGGTGGCCGCCACCTCAGAGCTTATTGGAAAACCAGATACGAGCCGGTGGTGATGGGGCAACTGCAGTCTCATGGGAAGGGGATAGTACCGGCTCGTCCTTCACACATACCTAAGTCACGAGTTGCTCCCCACGAGCGGCTCTCCAACACGGCCATGGCTCCAGAGGCAAAAGGACTTAGTCCAGAGCCCGGCAGCTTGCAGCAGAAAAGTGAATGGACCATGGGTTAAACTCTGGCACCATGCCTTCCTGGGAGGGAAAGGGTATTGCTCCCTTCTGCCTCCCCCCCACCACCCCAGCAGCAAGGTGGCCACCGCCTCAGAGCTTATAGGAAAGCCAGGTGTGAGCCAGCAGTGACAGGGAAACTGAAGTCTAATGGAAAGGGGAGCGATACCGGCTCGTCCTTCATGCCCTACCGAGGTCACGATTTGCCCCCCACAAGTGGCTCCCTGATACAGACATAACAGCAGACTTACAGAAACCAATCTCTTAATTATCTGGTTCTTTGCAGAAATCCAAAATCATTATATGATTCTCATAACCAGCTATAGAAAACAAAGTATTTCATAATGTCTTTTCAGCAATTCTGATTGTTAGGGGTGGGGGAACTCTAAACAATAATGGTGTATCTCGTCAAAATAATGAATGTAATCAATGTAGAGAAGAGTTAAGTGGAAATCATCTGTCTCACAGGCATTGGGAGGGGTTGGAGGAGGGTATATTGGGGTTCTTGGTGGTGAAAAATGAGTACTGGTGAAGGGAGCGGTGTTTGATCATTGTCTGACCACGACTTAAACCTGAAAGCTTAGTAACTTTTCCCACAGTGATTCAATAAATAAATATAAGAAGAAAAATAAATAAATAAATAAATAAATAAAAATATGAAAAAAGTAAGGTGTTCATGCCCTAATCAATCAGCTAGTCAGTGGCTGAATAAATAGCAGTACTCCTACACAAAAAAAAAATAACCTAACTCATAGTATAACTAAAAGCTTATACTATGAGCCTTTAATTTACTCGAGCGAG